GTATAACTTCTGGTTTTATTAAGAGTTGAAAATAACATGTATTTTTCCATCTTAATAGATATTTGATGTTATTATACAGATACTGGACAGTGCATGGTGTGTCCTGATTGGTGACGTGACCAGGCATAGCATGACGTGACCTGGCGTAACAAGACGAGACATGACGTGAAATATATCGTGACACATGCGCAGCTTAAAGCGTTTTTTGCCTTATATTTGTTGCTTTGAAAATTAATATCCGTTATTGATTTCGCTTTGTGACGAACCGGATTTAATTTAATTAACCGATAGTGATGGTAAGTAATCGTATACAAATGTAAACGTTTATAATAATTATCACGTTATGATATTCATTTTAGTTTATTAATCATCGTGTGGAGAATCACATTTTGTAAATTTTGGTATATTGCTAACTATGTATATAATTTCCATTATTTATAAGATCTATAAAGTATATTACTGTTCCTAATACTTTCTTGTCTACGATATCACCTATGGTGGAAGTGGACGTAAAACGTTAGATTTGAACGAGCTAATACTTTAATCAGATTGTGAAAATTTTCATAAATGTATAAATATGTATTTTGAGAGTCGACATGTAGGTTGTGTTATCTCGTCATCAGGCTTGCCTGAAGACGGTTGGTATTACCGATTGACCGATGTAAGCTAGACCAGTCTCTCTCTGCTGAAAATTGACAGTACTGCAAGCTTTTATCTGAAAGCATCATACCGGTAAATCGCTCAGGTGTAGCGGTAGGTAATCGAAAGTTGCAGACTTCGATTGTAAAAAAAAAATTGGTTCGACATCTTTCTTGTAGCGGGCGGTAAGAATATTGTTTTTTACCTATTGTTAAACATACATTACGCAAGAGCAAAATCTGATTATTGCAAGACTTAATTTAGGCTTCAGATGTTATAGAAATTATAAATTAGATCTTTATTTAAACAACAAGCCCAAAATCAACTCTGTAGACCCACGGATGGCTCGGCTACAGCTCGGATTTAAATAGGAATTAACTGATTGATTAATTCAAATATAGCGCACCCTGATGAGAATACGTCAGTTAGATCGAGGCTAAATGATAGAGTGTACGTAGCGAGGCCGTTGTAGAGCGTTTCCGCATGCCATTGAAAACATTACTGGATAATCGAGATATGTAGGTGGAGTTAACGCCTGTCAATCAAACGATCGGCCAAGGTGAAGGCACATTTCACTACCATTTCTAGTCAAATATTACAACGATGATAACTATGTTCAGAATAAAGTAATTTGACTGAAATTTTCAATATATTCTTCTTTCATCTTCTACTTTTGAACTGTTATAGCAAGAATGGCCAACTCTCTATAAAAAATCTCCCATAATGTATCTTTAACCAAATGTGTAGTACGCACCGATGGAATTACAAATTATAACTGGTAATATAAAGAGAACTTAAATTTGAGTTTGTCCTCGGTGATATTCGAACCCCTGGCCCACAGTACAAAACCGCGTAGCCTATGACAGTCAAGCGTTCTACCGACTGAGCTACACCCACCTCTGTCCACACGCTGATGGGCATGACATGGCGTTACCTGACATTGCACAATATAATGACGTGTGACGAGGTGGTGTTCCTGATTGGTAATACATGTACCGAAATACGTCTGTACCGCCTAATTGTATTTGGTACCTCGCACGTCCCCCACCCCCACCTTCGAACCCTTAGCAAAGAGATAAATGTCTGTCGTTTGCGGTGTCGTTTCAAATATGTCAAATATTGTAGACCCTGTTTAGGCCTGAATTGGATGTCCCCATGTCCTCACGAAACGGGGGTCTCCGACAGACTACAATATCTCTTCAGCTCAGATGCCCACTATGGCAGTATATTAGACTCAAAATTCTAACATGCTATCGTCTAATTTCTAACTTCTATTCATGTAATTTCTAACTTCTATTCATGTAATTTCTAACTTCTATTCATGTAATTTCTAAATTATGACAATGTATAATCCAACTTCTTTTTTTGTTCAGTGTAAATTTGAATTCTATTCCATCTTATTTCTATTATTTAGATGCCTTCTTCGTTGAGGCTTTACATGTTAAGCATGAAAGTCAAACAAATTTAGAATTTTGATACTTCTACTTAGCAACCATCATTATGACGTCGTTTGGTGTCGCCACCGTGTGATCGGGTCCATTATGTTGATACCAACGACTCGCTCATCTTCAGGTTGAATGGTTTGGCGGAGTGTTGAAATTGAAAACAACATCGAACGTGACATGGTTTGCAAATTGAAATACTATTTCAAATATAAGCTAAACCGCAAATGTTGTTTAGCTTGTATTTGAAATAGTATTTGCCAACCATATCACGTTCGATGTTGTTTTCAATTTCAACACTCCGCCAAACCATTCAACCTGAAGAAGAGCGAGTCGTTGGTATCAACATAATGGACCCGATCATACGGTGGCGACACCAAACGACGTCATAATGATGGTTGCTAAGTAGAAGTATCAAAATTCTAAATTTGTTTGACTTTCATGCTTAACATGTAAAGCGACAAGAAAGTAGACATTTTTCGTCTTTTAAGATTAAAATAATAGAAATAAGATGAAACAGAATTAAAGTTTACACTCAACAAAAAAAGAAGTTGGATTATACATTGTCTTAATATAGAAATTACATGAATAGAAGTTAGAAATTACATGAATAGAAGATAGAAATTAGACGATAGCATGTTAGAATTTTAAGTCTAATATACTGCCATAGCCCACTACACCATCCGCTCCCACACTCAAACCTTTATGAACGCCGCGGTATAAGAAGTCTTACCATCATGCTCAAAATTATAAACAAAACGCATCTCAATACCCACTAAACATTATTCATGGCTTTGAAAGCAATGCATATGCATACAATTTAAGAACTAGTGGTGATGTTTCCACACCTACTGTAGAATTTCATTATATAAACTTTCCATCAACAATTCGAACTCATCATACAGTAACGCTTAAATAGAAATTGTCTGAGAGATTCAAGATAATAAAAGCTCCGAAAAAATTGGATGGAATGGAATTTGTTTCACAATGAAAGTACTGCACTTTTCAGTGCTTTTTGGAACTTCCGAATCATCAACTTAAATATACTTCTTTCGGGTGATTCTAGTTTAAAAACTGACAGTAACATATATATTTTTAATCAAGTTCAAAAATATATAAAATCAACTAAAAGATTCGTGCGTAGTGTATTTTTTCCCTTTCCTTTTGCACTACTGTAAAAACGTTATTTAGTTGGGGTTTTTTTATCTTTGTGTACGTAATACTGTTACATTGTGAGTTGCTTTCCTTGCAATTTTCCATTTCGATTTTTATTCGTAAGGGTATGATAATCATATTGGATTTCAATACACGACACTAAATCCTTCATTGAGATTCTTTGGATATGTATAGAAATCATAATTCGAATATTATTTTTTTTTACATTAATGTGATTTTCAACTATTTATTATAACATTTATATCTTCCATTTTTTTTCTCTTCTCTTTTTCCTTAATAATTGGACTATTATAACTGTCAATTTCAACGTATGTGCAGAGGGCATCGATAAATTTTCGTAGCTTTTGTCCCCATCCTTTTGTACTACATTTATGTTCTGGTACAAAAAAATATGTTTAAAACAAGCTTAGATATTGTACCTAGTTCAACTACACCGAAGGCCCTCGGCTGCCATTACTAAGGAGGATTTAACCAAAAATATATAGAAATTTCGTCATAAAAGACGTTTAGTCAGTGTTTGTCGGGGATTTATATTTAACTTATAGGAACAAATCATCTGAAATTATAATAGATAAACCATTCCATCTAGATTAAATTGTTGAATTGGGTCAACATGAATGCATCTTAATTTTGATCTGATTTGTTAAACTGAACACAAAATCAGTTACTGCTTTACCGACAGGTCATGTTGTTTTAAAGTATAATTAAGCGATTAAAGTTATTGGCTATCGTATTTCCTGTTGTGTTTACACCTGTATTACTACATACGTTATTCAGGTGCAAGATAATTCTTATGTCGCCATCAGATGTATGTTATTTATTGCAAGTGTTATAGTTTACATGCTCATGAAATATAATAAGTGATATTTACTAAAGAAATAATGGGTTTGTTGTTATCAATTGTACAAAGGACGCGTGGAATCACAATGCATTTTGGCAAACAAAGGGTACCCTGAACTATGGCTATAGACAAAGCTTGGTGAATTTTGTCCCTAGGACATCACCTATAGTTGGTTTATACTTCTGATCCGTCGATGGTGTAATGAGCCTAGTTGCCTTAGCAACGGTTCCGAGCACGCGACATTTTTGTCAGTAAGAGCCACACCTGTTGTATGTGTGAAAGACAGGGGTTGAACTAGAGAACAAAGCTTATGAAACACAACACATTTTTCCGTGACCAAAAGTAAAACCTTTAATCGATTTTTTTTATTTTATATTCTCAAATATACAATGGAATAATTTACTTTAAAATGTTATAAGGCTTGACTGAACGTCATATTTAAACGTTTATTTGAACTAAGTGTATTATTCTTAATTTGAACAAGCATTATTTTAATACATGGTCAATGTTCATCCAATACGAGTAAGTACAGGCTGCATGACCATAGTATGTCTCAAAATTATACATATGAAAATCAATAGTACCTACTGTCTTTAACATATCTGATAATAATTGTTAGAAATTATATTAGAATTTGATGGGAATATATTGTAGATATTATTACCGTTTGACATAAATATAATAAGGCATGAAGGTTTTTTTTTTTATTTTATATTTGCCGGAATTCGGTTTGATTGACATTATTCTTTTTAAAAGAAAAACAGAAGAACATGCGTTTTTCTCACATACGGCTCTTCGGTCCGGTGTTATCTAGGAGAGTACCGAAAGGAAGACTAGGAAGGGGAGTAAGTAGACGTGTTCAGCATGGTTGTTTTATTCTATTCATACTAACAGTTGTAATCAATGTTCCGAAAGGCCTAGCTAGAGAGAACGTGAGTTGATAACTGTATCGATTTTGCGAGACAACATAGCGAAAGAGTACTGACTACAACGTGGACAAAAATGTGTAGGGCCTTCATTGTGCGCCGCATTATATTGATTGTCATTTAGTTCAGGTAAAAGCAGAGGTGTGAGTCAGCCTCTTGTACCATCTTGACACAGGTGGACACTTGGTTAAAATATTTATAAGGATTCGTGGTCTACAGATATGTCTTCTAAATCACCCAGCATTCTGTCAGGTAAGGTACTCTGGCTTACATTATTTTTAATTCCGTCCTATATAACAGCCTGGTAAACAGCCGTAGAAAAACGCGTTAATCTTTTGATCATTATATATAATGTACCATTACTTAAAATTTAATCAGGGTTAATATACGATATATCCTCTTTGCTATTATAAAACAGATCATGTTTGTTTGAACGTGGTATTAATTAAAATTGTATTAGCTTCATCATAGAAAATAGTTTTATGTTTCACTTCTGTTCACTAATCTTCTTTATGAGGCTACATTTTTCTGGTATTTCATCTTTTTGTCATACTCACATGTTGACTAATCATGCTGTGTACTATTTACAACTTGATCTTGATAAGTATGTGTTTATACATGAATGAGTTGTTTGTAATATAGAGAACAAGTAGCCTTATATAGTAGTTGCATGCTACAGGGCACATGTAATACCAATATTACGACAGAAAGCAATTACTTATCCATTAGCATAGATATCAATTTCTTTGTGTAATATATTTAAAACTGGCACTCTGTATCGTAATAGATACAGTTAAATTCCATCTAAATGCAATGGCAGTGTGGTATACCGTAAATCTTGTTGTTTGACATGAAGCCCTCATCGATCCATTGGTAAAGTGCGCACTTTCGTGTGATAGACATTATATGGCGGAGAACATATTGATTAATACACCCCAGACAGGTGTAGATACAAAATTTCATCGAATGGTAGGTTTTATGTAGAACTGACTATTGGAGCTGTTATTTTCGGTAGTCAAGAAAAACTAGATCAATAAAGCCATTGATGAAGAGATTTTACTTCTACTCAGTAAAATTTAATGCTTTATATATTTTACAGTAAATTTGTCAAATCAGCCATTTGGCCAAACACGTGGTCAATATTTTCTAAGAGCAGTTCGTTTTTATTAAAAATAACATCTTTCTTACTAAAAAGGAACTATTTTTATTTAATTGACTTTGATACGCCATAATGTAATCAGGTTCAGTAAAAGTGAAATTGATAGTAAAAAATTATATTTATTTATTTTTGCATGTAAGAAAGGATTGAGTGATAAAAAAACCCTCCTACTCGTCTTTTTTGATATCAAAAAATACCAACACACGTCGATAAAGTAAAAAAAAAAAACCTCGGCAGAGCCTCTTTTTTTCACTTTATCGACTTGTGTTGATGTTTTTTGATATCAAAAAAGACTCGTAGGTACGGAAGCCCATTAGGGTCAATCAAATGAAAAAAATTACAAGATACGGAGAAGCCCATGAGTAACTTATTTTAAGGTCGCCATACACTGATTTATCGAATAGCTAGGTCAACGCCGTATTTTATTTTATGTTACAGAATCGGCACATTCATGTCATGTTCCCATAAATATTATTCGTTGTTTTCGTGCCTCCATTAAAATCATAAAGTTCATACTCTCATTAACTTCATACTCCCAACAACTTCATATTAATATCATAATTCATCAATTTTAATGCTCTCCTTAAAGCCACAGGACGCTATTTACATTTTTCGGAAAACTTATTTAAATTATGATTTTTGGCTGTTTTATTTTCTGCAGAAGTTACCGAGTTTAGCGATTTTTTTCCATTTCGACAGGAAATTAAAAACTGTGCGAAGTCAAAACGAACTAAAACAAAAAACATTTTTACGGTTAATCATCAACGGCAGATATGATTCAAATCTGTTGAAAATCGGAGTTGTCTAATTAAAGATACATTATAGGAGATTTTTATAGAGAGTTGGCCATTCTTGCTATAACAGTTCAAAAGTAGACGACGAAAGAAGAATATATTAAAAATTTTAGTCAAATGACTTTATTCTGAACAAAGTTATCATCATTGTAATATTTGACTAGAAATGGTTTGATTGACTGGCGTTAACTCCACCTACATAATCTCGATTATCAAGTAACGTTTTCAATGGCTTGAGACGGGGGTTGCAGTTCAATTCGTATCACATTTATTTTTACTACAAATTAAAAATAAGACTTTTATTATATAGATAAAAAGCGAAAGTTTGAAAGGACTGGACCAAATCAATGAGGCATAATTATAGCCGACTTCTTGTTAGCCTGCGTGTACTCTTGTACTGTAACGTTACGTGACTTCCGAAGCAGACAAATACTGAATAGGAAAGACTACAGTGATCCAATGGGGCTGCGTTAGCTGCGATGTTTATCAATTTTTCTGTAAACGCAAGTGACAAAAGAGCGTATAATACCAACATCCAAACTCTCATTTTAACCACAACTGAACATAATATCAAGGCCGTATATATCGAACTTTCAATCAAATTGACTGACATGCGGCATCGCTCAACAGCGGCCTCGCTTCGTACGCTTTATCATTTAGCCTCGATCTAACTGAAGACGTCAACGTAACGGTTAATAATCTCCGCATGGGGCGCCATTTTTTATTTAATCAATCAGTGAAATCCTATTTAAATCCAAGCTGTAGCCGAGCCATCCGTGGGTCTACAGAGTTGATTTTGGGCTTGTTTTTTAAATAAAGATTTAATTTATAATTTCTATAAGATCTGAAGCCTAAATTAAGACTTGCAATAATCAGATTTAGCTCTTGCATAATGTATGTTTAATAGTTTATATAACATTTCAGGCCTAAAGAAAGACCTCCGATAGGCAGATTTAGCTCTTGCATATCCTACAACATAATGTGGAAGTAATTAGTAAAGGCTCATTCACAAACGACAAAATAATAATTTAAAAAACGCGTAGAATGCACTAAGCCGGCGTAAACGACTGCCGTTCAATTTGAACTGTTCGCGTAATTCACCGAACATAATTGATTAGAAATTACAATATCCTTTTTTTCAAAAATTGAATTATCACTTTACATATATTCATATTATATTAATATATGCTTTTAGAACCATTTTTGTCTATTTGAAGGTTACAAATAATAGAACCATACACTCTTTAATAAGAACCCACTGACATATATTAAGTTAAATCTTTATCACATTTTTGGCCGTTTTGTTTTCGTTCGTTTTAACTTTACACGGTCATATAAGTTTTGGTCGTTTTGGATAAACGCCTTTTAGTCTATATCCCTTTTAAACAAGCCGTTGCCGTCTTTACGTTTCGCTGAACCTCCTTCATGCGTCTCTATTTAATTCGATTGAATCCAAACCTGAAAATTAGCTATCGTTGCGATCTTGATTTTGAGTTCTTTAATGATTAATTGGTATACATTCAGGCTTGGATTTTCAAAAGTTTCTGAAAAATATAAATGGCATTCCATGGCTTTAAAGATACATTGTGTCGAAAGTATTTATCGGGTGGTTATTTCGAATAAAAGTATAGCAAATTTGGTATATAATAATAATAATAATATCTTTATTCGTACTTAATTGTACACTTTCAAAGGGGAAAAAATAACAATGAAAAGTTACATGATATGTACAATAGTTCATTAGGTATTTACAGTTAAAACTAGACACCATTCTTATGAAATACACAAATGATCAATGATTTCGTCAATGTCAGGGTCTTGATTTGAGTCTCTAAATAAAATAAAGTCTTTTATTCTATTAGCTGCCAATACATCATTTACACTATTATTTTCAGTGTCATATTTATTAATCGTTTTTAGTATATCATTTACATTCATGTCGCTAATATTATATTTATTAACATTATATTTGTAACATATATAGTTAATATTATTACAAATAGTGGATTTACTTCCATGCAGAGCATGCAGAGCACAGATGTGCGTGCATTCATTTTTACTTTTTAATATACTGCTGATAAATTTCATACATCGTTTTTGAAGCTGAGCTTCTATTGTAAAATCATTGCAAATTAAATGTAGTAAGGCATTATGGGTGCGATTTGGTAAATTGAGCAGCCTCCTGACACTCTTGCGCCAAGCACAATAAAATCTCCCTATTGATTAGTGCGTTATGTCCCATAAAGGAAAGTATAGACACCCAATCTTACTGGAAAAATACTATATTACCCGAAAAACACCAATGGGGCAAGCAATGGGCAAAAATGTCAGGGTATCATTAACTGGCAACCCGACTGTTGTCTGCCAGCTTATTGTGTGCTAGCTTGACTGGGGGGGGGGGGGGCGGTTTTATTTCTTGATCAAATGGTTAGGCGGTTTGGGGAACATTGAGGGTGTGAACGGAAAAAGTAGTTGACAGAAAATAATTAAGAATTTACTTAGGTCAAATATGTACGATAAATTGACAGTAAGTAACGAAAATACATTCTGAAAAATGGACACGGCGTCTAACAACAGTTTATTTATAGCTTGCGGTATCTCCCGACGAATACAAAGTTTTGAGAGGGATTTGAAGTAAATTTTTGATAGATTAATTAGTTTGAATATGTTTTTAGTCCAAATATATCATCATATCACATAGTTTGTACGCGGGAAATTATCTTTAAGGAGAGCATGAAATCAATGAATCATTAATAAATGATATCAATGAGAGTATAAAGTTGGTGAGACTATCAAGTTAATGAGAGTATGAACTTAATGAATGGTTTTTAATGAGGGCACAAAATAGCTAATGATATGAATGGGAGCATGACCTGAATGTGCCGATCCCGTAACATAAAAAACGACTTCATTTGCCTAGCTATCCGATAAATCAGTATAGGGCGACCTTGAAATAAACTGGTTAGAACACTTTTTTTTCAATTAATTGATCCTAATGGGCTACTCCATATCTTGTAATTACAAGATAGTTACAAGAAAACTATCTTGTAATCACAAGATAGCCCAATATAACCTATAGCCTAATATGACCTATCATAGTTATATAAAAGATTGTCAGAATAGGTAAAATCTAAGTTTATTCTATAAATATATTCCATATACAGGTAGTGTAAGGGGGATAAAGGTTACTTCTTGCTGCACTCCAAGCCGAAATGACCCAGACTGTTGCACTTGAGATTGTTCTTGCAACACGTGTATCTCTTTGGTGTCTAGAAAATTTACCACGGCAAAATACCTTT